CTTTCGCTCTTTCCATCCTAATTAGAATGCTTAGGATTTTGAACACCTCTATCAAATCTCTCTCAACCCACTTCTATTGAAGGACAACAATCTTAGCTTATCCAATCTAACCAAGCAAGGGAAACTCCTCCTGCCTGGGGCCATTCTTAGAAGTCTTTTCCCTTTCCTTTCGAAAGCCATCATGCCCTTTCTAAAATGTGGCACTCACAACTGGACTTAAATCACGACATGAGGCCTAACTAGTATTTTTTAAATGTTTGTTGTATGTTCTTTCTTTTTGTACTCTATGCCTCTATTTATACAAACCATTTGTAATTTCAAAGAAAAGTCATTGGACTCAAAAATTTAACTGTTTTCCCTCTCCACAGATGCTGCCAGACTGTGTTTTTTGTTTTTATTTCAGATTTCCAGCATCCACTGTATTTTGCTTTCACTATTATGTCTTTTTAAACAACTTCCTCAACCTGCCCTGCCCACTTCAATGATTTGTGCACATATGCCCCCAAGATTTCTGGACCCAGTTTAGGCTAATGCCCTTTGCTTTATATTGCCTTTCCTCCTTCCTGTTCAAATATATTACTTTGCATCCCTCTGCATTAAAATGCATTTTCCACTTCTCTGCCCATTCCACCTACCCATGTCTTCTTTAAATCAATCATTGTTCTCTTCACAGTTCATAATATTTACAGGGTTTTGCACCATCTGTAAATTTTGGCATTGTGCCCTGTACATCTAAGTTTAGGTCGTCACTGTATAATCAAGTAAAGCAATGGTCCTCGTATCAACTCCTGGGAAATCTTACTCTGTACCTTTCTCTATTCTGAAAAGCAAACTTGCAGTACTACTGTTTCCTGTCGCCCAGCCAAGGTTGTATCCATGCTGTCACTGGCTCTTTTATTCCATGGGTCTCACGATCACAATGATTGAAATGAAGAGAGAAAGCAAGCTTATGATAAGTGTCAGGCTCAGAGACAAACTGAATATAGGAAGTTCAAAGGAGAACTGAAAACGGAAATAAGAGGGACAGAGGAGATACACACTAGATTTAGCAGGTTATTTTAAAAAGGAACTTGGACATATTTTATTATGTATAAGTAGTTCAAGGAAGGATGGAGTTTGATATTGGTCCAAAAGAGAGATCGCTTCATAATTCACTAGGTCAGTCCCATCTAGAGTATGATTTTTTTTTCCCCTGAATGCTGTACTTGGGGAACAACACAGAGAGGGTGCAAAAAAGATTTATCAAAATGGTACCAAGGATGGACAGACATCAGTTATATAGAGAGACCAGTGTAGCTGGTGGTCCTTGGAGCTGAGCCATGTTAAGGGGAGATTTACTGCAAGTCTTCAAAATCACAAAATGAGTTTTTTGGTTGCTAAATGCAAGAAAAATTAATAACATAACTCAGTTTCACACATGTTATCAGTAAGAGGCATATTCAGAAAAAGGTAAGTCTTAAAAAATATTACTGATCAATCTTAGAGTTCCCTAAAGAATAGATGATGGGACGTGGTGGCTGTTAAGTTGAGTGATTCAGCTTGCAATGATGTTGGTAGATGACCAATTGATTTTGAGGTGCTTGATTTTGCAGGTCAGCAGAAAAGCCTTTGTCCTATTTGCTTTTGATGTACACATGTTGGTGTTGGACTGGGGTGGACAAGACCAGAAGTGACATGATACCAGGTTATAGTTCAACAGGCTTGTTTGAAATGACAAGCTTTCGGACCGCTGCTCCTTCATTAGGTGAAGTGATTTGAAGGTGAAGGTGGAGCAGTGCTCCAAAAGCATATGATTTCAAATAAACCTGTTGGACTATAACCTGGTGTCGTGTCACTTCTGATATATTTTGACTGTGATTTTGTTTACTTTCTGGCTACCAACAAAGAGTGAGAGACTTTCTTCCTTTTTACCTGCAGCACAAGAATAACTAGGGTTTTCTCAACTGTGACCTTCATTACTGGCATCATTCTTGTGAATTTCCGCTAGACCGCCTCCAAGGCTAGCACATCCTACATCAGATACAGGACCCAAAACTGGGCCAAAAATATTCCACATATGGTCTGACCAGAGCCTTGTATAGCCTCAGCAGTACGTCCTCTTGTATTCTAACCCTCTCAAAATGATTGCTAACATTGTATTTGCCTTCCTAACTGCCAACTGAACCTGCACGTTAACTTAATAAAATCCTGAACTAGGATTCCTAAGTCCCTTTGTGTTTCAGATTTTTGAAGCCTTTCCCCATTTAGAAAATAGTCAACACCTTTATTCTACCTACAAAAGTGCATAACCTCACACTTTCCCATGTTGTGTTCTATCTGCCTTTTCTTTGCAAACTCTCCTAGCCTGTCCATCTGCAGCCCCCCGCTTCCTCAATATTACCTGTTTCTCCCCTTATCTCTGTCGTCCATTCTTTTATCCAGATTATTAATGTAAAATATGAACAGTTATGGCCCCAACGTTGAACCCTGTGGAACTCCACTAGTCACTGGATGCTATCCTGTCAAAGACCCCTTTATTCCCCATTCTCTGCCTTCTGCCAGTCAGCCAAGCTTCTATCCATGCCAGTGCCTTGCCCCTAACACCATGGGCTGTAATCTTATTTAGCAGCCTCGTGTATAGCACCTTGTCAAAGGCCTTCTGGAAAGTCGATCACGTCCGCTGGCTCTCCTTTGTCGAACTTGCTCAGTACCTCCGCAGAGAATTCCATCAGATTTGTTAGGTGTGACTTTCCCTTGATGAAGCTGTGCTGACTTAGACCTATTTTACTGTGCCCTCCAAGTACTCTGTACTCTCATCCATGATAATAGACTCTTTCAATCTTACTAACGACCGAGGTCAGGCTAACTGGCCTATAGTTTCCTGTCTTCTGCCTCCTTCCCTTTCTAAACAGGTGTGTTACATTAGCATTTTCCTGTCCTCCGGGACTTTCTCTGATTCCTGAAGGATCACCACCAATGACCCCACAACCTTCTCAGCTATGTCCTTCAGAACCCTGGGGTTCTGTAACGTGAATGCAACAGTTCTTACCTGATTGTGCTCCTACTGACCGTTACTTGAACAAATGAAACATTTAGAATTTCTCTTTTGGACTTGTCCTGCTAATAGAATTGGCTGTTTCTATTTCATAGCAGTGATTGTAGTTCTGTATTATTTGTTTGCCTGTAAAGTACTTTGAAATGCCCTGAGGCTGTGGAAGACGCTACATAATTATAAGATTTTTTTTCTTTGAGCTGTTGTTTAGAATGGTCTCTGGCAGTCCCACAGTCTTTTAATATTTCACTGTGTTCTCTACTGTTTTGTCACACACAGGCAAACAGAACACCATAACCCAAGGCTTTTCTTCTAAGTAGGACACAACTCATAAATTCAACATTATTGAAGTGACAAAAGGCACTCTCACTGAGTATAATAAATGGGGGCGGGGTGGGGCGGCGTGCAGGGTAAAGGAACATAAGCTATTTAGTCTGTTAGCATGCAATCCTATGTAATACGTGAAAAGGACATGGATAAGACAGAGCAGCACGGTGCCTCAGTGGTTAGCACTGCTGCGTCACAGAGCCAGGGACCCAGGTTTGATTCCACCCTCAGGCTGTATGGAGTTTGTACGTTCTCCCCGTGTCTGTGTGGGCTTCCTCCGGGTGCTCTGCTTTCCTCCCATAGTCCAAAGATGTGCAGGTTAGGTGGATTGGCCATGGGAAATTGCCCATAGTATCCAAGGATGTGCAGGCTAGGTGGATTGGCCATGGGAAATGCAAGGTTACAAGGATAGGGTAGGGGAGTGGGTCTGGGTGGGATGCTGTTGGGAGTTTTTGGTGTGGACTTGATGGGCTGAATGGCCTGCTTCTACACTGTAAGGATTCTAAGAAGATTTTTTTTTTTAGTTCCCTGAATAAAGCTTTATGACATTTCATTCTGTCCTGTTCTGCTATTCACTCATTCTGTTTAATTTCGCTCTATTTTTACCTGTTTGAAACATTTCGCCGGGACGGATTATAAATGATATTTTATTGATACCAGTTATTTAAGCCTCCTTGCAGCTTTTAAAGACTGACATTGCTGTCCAGTTTTGCTCATGAGAGCTGGTTGTGATTAGGGAGTTCTGAACTCTGTACAGAGGAAACATTGTATTATTTTTCCACATCCTGTAAGGAATCGTAACCACCTATATTAAATGAGAGCTCACTTTAAAACCTAAACAATTATTTCTGCCTCCCATTTGCCTATGGTAAGCAACGTGACATGCATGAAATGATAGAGTGATGGCAAGAAAAGGACAGATTGTTCCCAATTTGACAGAATGTACGGCTTCATCCAGCCTTGCTGCTGAAGTGCTTATATTGAAACCTTTTGGACAATTGAAGGTAGCTTATCAGAAAAGGTTGCCTAACAGTTTGTGTGCTGCTTCATTTATTTGAGATACTCTATCAACGTGGCATTCTGTTTCTTATCTGAAATCTTCCTCTTCTGTCGTCTGTGTGGTGAATGTCAACAAGTTATTGCCTAGCTGTGCTTTGCAGTGCACTGAACCATAGCAATTTGGTAAATGCTGAGGAATCAGGGTTTATTCAGTTTCTAGCTTAGATAATGACAATTTTTCTGTCCATTATGAACTTAATGCAAAAAAGCAATTTCAAAAATGTAATTTCATCCAGGATTCTCTCATTTGTATTGTTTAGTTTGGTGACACAATCAGCAAATACTTTTTTGGTGGCGGTGGGGGGGTTGTGGGCAGAAAAAGCACCTTTGTATTAATTTGGTACGTACATTTTTCCACGCGGTTTCGCAATTTACATGAAAGATCACAACTTATTGTAAGTTATTTCGTGCATATCACAAACATGTCGAGCTGTGTCTTATGCATTGTGCGTCAGCCCCAAATTGACTGGAACTAAAGCTCATTTTCTGAAATATTAGTTTATTATTTACTGTATAGTTGCAGATTGATTTGCTTTTTGCTCTGAAAGAGTCGTTCTCACACCCATTTTCTCTCTTATTCCAGATTCCAGAGTTGAAGGTTTTTTCCTTCTAGATAAGTATCCTCCTACGTTTATACTTAGTCTCCTGTACCTCTTTGTGGTCTGGGCTGGGCCGAAGTACATGCAGAACAAAGCACCTCTATCCTCTAGGGGAATACTAGTGGTCTATAACATTGGATTAACGCTCCTTTCCTTATATATGTTTTGTGAGGTGAGAAATATAAACATTTTGTCAGCTTTTATGAATTAATCTGTTACTTCTAACCCCCACAGATATTTACCCCATGTATTGCTTTCTCTACCTTTTGTGGTTCAGCAGTTTCTTATGATTATCTGTTTTTTTGATTAAAAACAACTTGGAGACAACTGAGGCAGTTGGCCTGGTTCTAAGCCATAGGGTCAGGCCCTTGGGACAGTGCCATCTTCGTGTAGCCTTTGATTGATTTGTGCACTCTGCCAAGGATCTAGGAGACAGGGAGGGAAATGAAAATCAGAAATTGGGCTCTCATTTCTCATCGTGAGGCAGTAACGCAGTTGGAAAGTGAAAATGTGGGTACTGGATAGTTTTAAGATCCAGCTCAGCTGTAATGCTTTTGAGAATGGTTAGCCCATTGCACTCACAGCTTTGCTATGAAGAATGAGCCCCCATGCAAGATATCAGTAACGTGCTGGTGTGAGTTACTACCTTTGGGAACAAAGAGTGAAGGAGTGAAAATTCGATAAGTGCAATCAACAAAGGGTAGATTACTTTCTAATACTGCATTTCTCCCTGTTATTGCACATTATATAGCTGTGAAATGTACTTTTAAGATGATTATCATTGCTCAGACCTTTTGAGTATAGGAGTTGGGATGCCATGTTGAGCTTGTACAGGACATTGGCGAAGCCCTCTTCTGGAGTACCGTGTGCAGTTCTGGTTACCCTGTTATAGGAAAATTATTATTAAACCAGAGAGGGTTCAGAAAAGATTTACCAGAACATTGCCAGGAATGGAGCGTTTGAGTTATAAGAAGTTGGATTGGCTGGGACTTTTTTCACTGGAGTATAGGAGATTGAGGGGTGACCTTACTGAGGTACAAAAAAACATGAGGGATGTAGATAAGGTGAATGACAAGGATCTTTATCCCTAGGATGGGGGAGTTCAAAACAAGGGTCATATTTTTAAGGTGAAAGGAGAAAGATTTCAAAAGGACATGAGGGGCAACTATTTTACACAGAGAGTGATTCGTATGTGGAATGCACAGCCAGAGAAAGTGGTGAATGCAGGTACAGTTACAACTTCTAAAAAACATTTGGATAAGTTCATGAGTAGGAAAGATTTGGAGGGATATAGGCCAAGCGTAGGCAGGTGGGGACTAGTTTAATTTGGGAACATGGTCAATGTGGACTGGTTGGACCGAAGGGTCTGTTTCCAAGCTGTATGACTGATTCTATTAGGCAAGATTATACAAAGAACTAATCATGCTTACACTGAGTAGTTTGCTTGCCTTGTTTGCATGTGTTCAGGATATCTTTTTTTTCCAGTTTAATCATTTTTAAAATTCATTGTGTAGATGCAACTTTAATTTGTCTTCCTCAACTGGTCTGTGAGTGGTTAAGCATTTATATTACCCTGATTCAGCTGAAACAGTACTGACCTTCTATGATGCAACATCTGAGCACTGGCTATTTTTTTGTTAAATCCCCTGTAATCATTTTAATTCCCCTTGATTTATCATTGTACACTGTACTCAGCTGCTGAGGAAATAAATGAAACTGAATAGCTAGAGAGAAAACACAAGAAAATACAAAAGAAGAAAAGGTTATTTCCTGCAAGCCTGTCTTCTGTAGACTGTGTGTACAAAAAGAAACGTTTTGCAGTTTACCCTATCTTCCAAAAAAAAAACTCAAAACTCTAGGCATGCAGTGAATCACTTTGAAGAGCCTGACACTTACTGTGTATGTAAATGTGATAGCCATTTTCAGTACAGAAAGATCCCCAGACATTAAAGAATTATTGCATCTTGTTTTGATAGCTATTGAAGAAATGGCTATCAGGGCACCTGCAATTGTTTTTGCACAGTCATACAGCACAGAAACAGACCCTTCAGTCCAACTCATCCATGCCAGTTAGGCTTCCCAAACCAAACTAGTCCCATTGCCTGCATTTGGCCCATAGCCCTCTAAACCTTAATATTCTTTTAAGTAGTGTCCATCTGACTGTGTGGCTCTCCTACGGCACTGAGCTGTAGAGTTTATCTAGATTGTGTGTTCAAATGCTTGAACCTCCACCTTTTCTTTTGCGTCTCAGATGGTTTTAATTGAGATGCATTTATTCAACCTCCTCAGAGATGGCTCTTCACTACTGCTCCAGCCCTTGTCCACACAAAAGAATAAAGCGACACTTTGAGGCATCCAATTACCTTTCCAGTTCTTCAACACATTGGTTTACTTTTGAAGGGAGGGGTTTCTCGATGTCTTACTGTCTTCAGGAACTTCACTTGATCCAAATAATCATATGTCCCCTTGAGATGAATTCCAGTAAATGATTCATGAGAATTTTTAGGATCAGATTTTAATGAGGACTTAAAGCCCTGGTGCTTTTTTTTTGGTGTTTTTTTTTCCAGTTTTCGTCTTGAGCATCTGAAAACCAGGAGAATGAAAAAAATACTTGACAAAAATAGAGCAAATTTGAAGAAAGTTAATGAAAATCTGTTTTGTTTTATATTGAACAAATGTAGAGAAAGCAAACAAGGGAACAACAGACACCATAAATCGAAGACAAGCTGTCAATGTTTGTATGGTTTGACTAAGTGATTGACCTAAGTTAAAATTTTCAATTAGACAGTAATTCAGGGCATTTTGAATTCTGTATTGATTATTCAATTTCCTGAAGTGACACGATGCGATAAAATGTTTTTATCTCTGCAATTTGGCACTGAAGCCATTCTGAAACGCACATACATTGCGCCCTTGATATCATTATATACCTCACAACTATGATCACACAGCAATGATAACATGTACACTGGTGTGAGATGGTGTTCATCATACCACTGATGTCCCATAATCATCACACCAGTGACATCCCCTGTTTGTTGCATCAGTGATAGATAACCTGTGATCATCATACCAGTGATATTCCCTGTTCATTAAACCAGTGATGTCTGTATTCATTATATTGGTGGTATCATATGTTTATCACACCACTGACAAAATGCCCATATTACATCAGAGGTATTACAGTGTAGTTGATGCTGTTGCTAATTTAGTCTGTACCTTCGTGACATCAGTGATGTTATCATGTACATCACTTGCTGATGTCATGAGAGTGCTGAATGTGCATCTTCAGATCCATCAGAAGGTAAATGCTGATCAAAGGTCAAAATTGGTTAAAAAGAATATTCACTAATGCAGTAGCTTGAAGCAATCTGGTAACTTATTGATGGAAATATTGATTATAGTTTTTTTAGTGATTTCCAGTGCTCAGTCTTGTTGACACCAGCTTCATTTTAACTGGATTCGTCCAGTAAACACATTCAGGACTGATCTGATTGATCTTGGTGATTCTGTGCTGAAATGTCAATCATCCTATTGCCCAGATTGTTCATGAGTTGCAGACCCCTGCCCAGACACGGATGACCAAAGGAACGACATGGACAATGTGCAAATGATGGGAAACAATAAGAACATGTTAAATTGATTATAAATTAATAATTATCAATACACAAAAGGATTTGTTTAATTAACATTAAACAATTGTTTAATTAGCATTATTGTTTAATTAATGATTCACTTAGAACTAAGCTCATATGTTGGACACGTGGTGGAGGTTCCTTGGCTTCCTTTGTACCTATGTCCAGTGTAAGTGGAAATTGCTTTTGAATTTTGGTACATTTTATGAATCATTGGGAGTAATGTGATGCCAATTTCTCCAGATGTTTTCACATTCAGTTGAAACGTACGAATAATGAAAGCTACGGTAAGACATGAAGACACAACCTAGACCTTGTTTGTTGTGCATATTTATGAATTTTCAGATATAAATATGATATAAAACAATGTGCTGGAGCAATTGGGTGGAACTAAAATGTAGCTGTCAAGTGACTGGAGCAATTTGGATCATGTTACGTTCTTTTAATAAAATATGAATCCCCCTACCCAGCTGTGACTGTTGCTCTGTGTTTCTGAATGATTGTACAAGTCTTGTAACTACTTCTATGTTGTTACGATGGGTGGTAGAGGTGCAGTGAATTTCCACTTACTCAGCCTGTAGCTAGAAGAATAAAACATACCACTTGTCCCTCACTGCTGGAAGAGCTGAGTTGGAGAATCACCTCCTTATGCATGCTTGAATGTTTTGTCGCCCGTCCCTCTTACAATTTCTTGTTGCATTCTGTCTAAAGTTGCCAATTGCGAGCTATTACTGTGACCAGTGAGCCACCTGAGTTATCAGTGCTGTTGTCCATGCAGTGAACTATGTCATCACCTCACTGACCTTGTCCACGTCCTAGGAGCTGTCCTTGAGAGGCTACATGCCTGTTGGTTTTTCTCAGTCAATGCATTTCCAGTGGCAGCTTGCCTCTCTGGCTTCACCTCTACCCCCATACAGTTCTCCCCATCCTCTGATATCCCGACATGCTCAAGACTTTAAAATTCATTCCCTTCCCTTCATCGCTGACATGCTGCCTTTTGTTAATATGATCGGTTTCCACACGTGCGCTGACATTGCCCATATCTCTGCCTCAACACCACCTGACCATTCTGAATGGATGAGGAACTGCAGTTATCAGGAGAGACTGGAAGAGTTAACATTGTTTGTCCTTACAGTTTAGGAGTTTCACTGGAGATTTAACATGTGTTCAGATTTAGGAAGGGTCTTGATAGAGCAGTTAGGAAGACACATCTTTAAGTGGATGGACAAAAAGGTCAGAAAGAGATGAGGATTTTATTTTCACGAAGCTAACGCAGTCACGATGGGACGAATGACCTCCTCTGTGGAATGATTCAATGGTGGGAATCTCATTGGTTTCAGGGCTGTTGTATTGTGCCAGGGTGAGCCTGCTAAATGACTTGCAGATCAGGTATTGGCAAACTTTTGCCTGGAATGAAGATATCGGGATGGAGTTAGGGGCGGGGACAGTGGGGTACCAGCCTGTGGAGAGCTGCTGACCCAATATTGATTGGTGGCTCTGGCATTCAGCAGCACCACGGAGAATGCCCAGAACACCCCTGGAATCCCAGAATCACGGACCGACCTAGGATGAAGGAGTGTGCTTTGTTGGGGGGATGAGGCTGGAATGATTCTGTGGTTGGTGTCACAGTGGAGGGGAGAGGGTGAGGTGACATAGGAGATAGAACCAAGAGCAGGAAAATTGCTCCCAAGAGGCACTTCAGTCAGCCGCAGATTGCCTTCGATCAAAGGCAATATGGCAACAGACCATCTTATAGAATCATACAGTTATACAGCAGGGAAACAGACCCTTCGGTCCAACTCATCCATGCCGATCAGATATCCCAATCTGACCTAGTCCCATTTGCCAGCATTTAACCCATATCCCTGTCAACCATTCCGATTCATGTATCCATCCAGATGCCTTTTAAATGTTGTAATTGTACTCACTCCCACCACTTCCTCTGGCAGCTCATTCCATACACACACCACCCTGAGGGTGAAAAGGTTACCCCTTGGGTCCTTGTTAAATTTTTCCCCTCTCCCCTTAAACCTATGCCCTCTAGTTTTGGACTTCCCCAACCCTAAAAAAAAACCTTGGCTATTCACCCTGTCCATGCCCCTCATGATTTTATAATGAAGCTTAATCCTACTGACAGCAGGTTGAAACCCTTAAGTGGTTCTTAATTGGCCAGAGCAGCTTACCAACATCAAGTTATGATTGAGTTGCTTCATGAAGACTGAAGTGAACAGCCCCTTTATAAATTCTACATCCTCGCTGGTGATTCCATCACCCTCTCCATCTTGCTTCCTACCATCTACTTTCATTTGTGAACCTCCTTTTATGAGTTATGTCCACTGAAAGCTGTGTACAGTTTGAAGTTGCTGCTCACTAAGACTTGGTGGGGAAGAAGATCTTGCTTACAAAGGGGAAGTCTGAAAACTCCCTTTCATGGCTGGGAAGAACAGGTTGCTGTGCAGGGACATCCATGCCGCATCTCGTCCCCTGGCCCATTCATAGAACATAACATGGGCACAGATTTCCTCCAAAACCCACAATTTTGAGGCCAGTGCATGACCCCTTACTCAGGCTGTCAAGTTGAGAAGGACGTACGGTAGGTTTGGGAGTTAAAATAACCCAAAAGCATGATTGATTCATTCAAAACCCATTCCTTTCTAGGTTAACATGGCATCAACGTTCCCTATTCTTTATATGGATGTCTTTTGGAGTATCCTAGCTGCAGCAATCCTAAATAAATCCAGCATGCAAATCTCCACATTCTCATTGTGCGTAATGTTTTTTTTCTGAGGATGATAGTATTTGGCAGTGAATTTGGAGGGGAATTGATTGTAGGACAGGGACTGCTATGCAGAGGACAGTGTGCACCAAATGTGGAAACGATAAGAGAAATGGTGGCTCAACCTTCAAAGATTTGTTCGTCATTTTTCATACACAAATAAGATTTTTGATCATCTTTGGGGAGGAACCGCACAGGATCATGTTCCCATTAAGAATTTCATGCCAGTTTCCAGGTACCCCTCTCACCTTCAGCCACAGATGCAACAGCTCATTCTGGTGGTACCCTCCTGAGTTTTTTTTCTGTAGCACGCCATGAGGACTTCCCCCTAGTACTGGTTTCTGACCCTACGCTGAGGTTTCAAGATCTAATTTGAATGTTGTGGAGAGACTTTTAACTGTTCACTGGGAAATTGTAATGTGTAGGTATAGTCCATGGGAGATTGGATTGTCCCTAGGGCCTGTTAAGAGACAGGGAGTTTGCTGGGACAATTTGCAGTTCCTTGTTCAAATGTTTATTTTGTACGGAATGGATCATTTACTTTTACCCTTTGAAATAAACCCTTTTCTTTGTTAATCCTGTGAGAAAAGCCACCAGTAACTACAAAATAAGTCTGTGTTTATTTTCTCAGTTGGTCAGAGGTGTTTGGGATGGAGGATACAGTATTTTCTGTCAGAACACACACAACGCTGGTGAAGCAGACCTGAAGGTAATGTCTCATATGTTTGTACTTTACAAGGACAGAATTGTTGCTGGATTAACAACTTGGTAAAATCCTCAGCCTTTCACATTTACCACAAATACTATTTGCACTAAACAGTGATGTAAGGATCTAGCAGGTTTGCAAGTGCTTTTTTTTTTCCCCAATTGTTTTCTGTCTTTGATGCTCTGTGACAAAATAACTGGATGTAACTGTGTTGAATAAAGTCTGTATTTGCCTGATAACCAGAGAATTGTGAATGCCCAAAGCCAAGCCCAAGATTGTAACCTTTTGAAAGCATGTTAGTGTCTCCATTTTGCAATCTCAGAGAAAGCAGTATTTTCTTGATGTCCTTGGGTAGACCATGTCACAAGGACATAACCAGCTGCCAAGTCAGCATAAGTGGTTACTGATTTTTATTACGATGGCTAAATTGTGATGTGCCTTCTCTGTTTAAGGTTTCATGGTCACAGGGAAGGTAAAAATCGTGAATTTAATCTGAACCCGATACGAAATTATGTTGAAATTTTATCTACTCGTTTTCATTTTACACTGATATGATCTCATAGTGAAAGTGCAAGTTTCATCTTTGCCCACAAAAATCTAATGCCTTCCAATTGAATTCCCCACCTCTGTAACTTAGCAATGGGTTTCTCTTGTTTGTTATAGAAAGCAGATCCAGCCTGAAAAATATAACTCGCCAAGAAAGACACTTTATATATGGGACAATTTTTTTAAAAAAATCAGTCCCTTGGCTTGATTAATTGAAAGCAGAAATAAATATTTATGTACAACATGATGGGGTTTTCAGTCCATTTTTATGTTTGAATTCCCGTAAAAGTCTAGATGTTACTCTAGTCATTAAGCCTAACTTGTGCATTAAGATTCTGTCTTGCAAAACAATCTCAGTTGTGTCAAGTAACAATGAATCCACTTCCCCTCCCCTGCCTTTATCGCCCTTTCCAAAAATGCTCCTTGCATCAAATCAGTGCTCAGTTTTCAAACAGAATAGCCATTAATCAGCTTGCTAAAATGTTGATAATTGCCTTTTTTAAGGCACTTTAAGCATAATTGCCTACTTCGTAAGTGCATTGTGCATTTATACATGGGAATTTTACTTTTGTGTGACTAAGTGGATAAAGTAATTGAAAGTTTATTTTAGTTTGGTTTACAATGGTGCCGTAAGAAGTAGGGAACAGAAGTAGGCCATTCAGTGAGATCGTGGCTAAGTTGATAATGCTCAACTCCACTTGGTTGCCTTTTTCTCAGAATCCTTGATTCCCTTACTGTTTAAAAGTCTGTCTGTCTCGGCCTTGAATATACTTAACAGCACAGTTTTCATAGTCCTGTGAAAAGGAATTCCACAGTTTCACTCTCTCTTCTGAGAGAAGAAATTCCTCCTCATCTCTGTTCTAACTGTGCAATCCTTTATTGTAAGATAATACTCTCTGGTTCTGGACTCTGTCACAAGGAAGAAACAACCTCTCTACATCTACCTCTCAACCCCCCTAAGAATTTTGTATGTTTAATTAAGTCCGCTCTCATTCTCCAGGCTCAAACCACACAATCTCCCTTCATTATAAAATCTCTCCACACCCAGGATCAACCAAGTGAGCCTTTATCTATACTGCCTCCGATGCCAGTATATCTTCCCTTAGATAAGAGGACCAAAACTATTTTCAGTATTCCAGCTTTGGCCTGATGAGTGTCTTGAATATTTCAGAAAGACCTCACTGTTTTTTGTGCTCCATTCCCTTCGATATAAAGGTCAACATCCCATTTGCCTTCCCTGGTACCTGCTGAATTTGCATGCTAACTTCCTGTTATTTATGTGCAAGGACTCCTGAATCCCTCTGTGCTGTAGCTTTCTGCAGTCTTTCTCCATTTAAATAATATTCATCTCCTGTATTCTTCCTGCCAAATTTTCTCACGTCGTATTCCATCTGCAAGTTTTTGCTCATTCACTTAGCTTGTTTATATCCCTGTGCAGAATCTTTTCGTGTCATCTTGACCGTTTGTCTTGCAACCTATTTTTATGTCATTCACAAACTTGCTGATAGTATCAGCGATAGTAAGAATTGCCGATGCTGGAGTCCGAGATAACACAGTATGGAGCTAGAGGAACACAGCAGGCCAGGCAGCATCAGAGGAGCAGGAAAGCTGACGTTTTGGGTTGGGACCCTTCTTCAGAATCACATGCTGATAGTGTGTTCATTTTCCTCATCCAAGTCATTTAATATATTTTGTGAATAATTGTCGCCCAGCACTGATATCTAGGGCACTCCACTCGTTCCAATTGCCAACCTGATAATGCTCCTCTTTTCCCCACTCCCCGCCTTCTGTTAGATAGTCAATTCTTTATCCATGCTACTACCTCCAACACCAGGGGCTCTAATTTTATTAAGCAGCCTAATGTATGGCACCTTATCAAACGCCCAAATATATTACATCCATTGTTTCCCCTTTAACAAAACTGCTTGTTATCTCCTCAAAGAATTCTAATAAATCTTTGAGGCATGATTTCCTTTTATGAAGCTGTGCTGACCCTTTGTCCTATTATATATTTCTAAATGCTTGGCTGCTACATTCTTGGCAATAGACTCGAACATTTGCCCAATGCTGAGCTAACTGGACTGTTTTTTTTTTTGAACCCCCTCCCTTTTGAATGAGGGTGTTACATTGGCGGCTTTCCAGTCCTCTGGATTTTTCCAGAATCTAATAATTATTTAATGCCAGTGCATCCACTATCTTTGTAGCTACTTCCTTTAATATCTTAGGATGCATCCCATCAGGTCTAGGGGACTTACAATCACAGAATTCCTACAGTGTGGAAGCAGGCCATTTGGCCCATCAAGTCCATACTGACCCTTGAAGAGCATCTCATCCCCCACCCTACCCCTGTAACATTGCATTTCCCATGGCTAATCCACCTAATCTGCTCATCCTGGACACTGGGCAATTTAGCATGGCTAATCCACCTAACCTGCACATCTTTGGACTGTGACCGGAAACCAGAGCACCCGGAGGAAACCCACGCAGACGCAGAGATTGTGCAAATTCCACACAGACAGTTGCCAAGGCTGGAAGCAAACCCGTGTCCGTGGCTCTGAGAGGTAACAGTGCTAACCATTGTGCCACCCCTCCTCATTGGTTGTTAGCCCCATTAGTTTCCCTAGCACTTTTTTTCGAGCAACAGTCATTGTATTTATTATAGAAGAGATTGAGAGGGTACGTGATTGAGATGTATAAAATTATGAACGGCATGGATCAAGTAGACAGAAAAAAAAACTTCTCCCCTTGATGGTGACCAGAGTGCATTGACTTAAGATAAGGGACAGAAAGCTTAGTTAGAGGACATGTGAGAAAAAAGCTTGTTCACCCAGATGGTGGTGGGAATCTAGAACTCAAAGGTGATAGAGGTAATATATAAGAGGTATTTAGATGTGCAGTTGCGATACAAGATTATCAGCCAAGTGTTGGAAAATGGGATTAGAATAATTAGGTGGTTGTTTTTGACTGGCACGGGTTCAGTGGGCCAAAGGGCCTTTTTCTGTGCTGTAGGTTCCTGAGACTCTATTTTCTCTCTTCCTTTTGCTCCTTGAGTATTATTACACTCTATCGTCTGAGTGAAGATATCCCCGAGGGGTTCATAGAATCCCTACAGTGTGGAAACAGGCCCTTCGGCCCAACAAGTCCACACCGACCCTCAGAGCCCCCACCCAAACCCATTCACCTATAACCCACCTAATCTACACATCCCTGAACACTACGGGCAATTCAGCATGGCCAATCCACCTAGCCTGCACATCTTTGGACTGTGGGAGGAAACTCCACATAGACAGTCGCCCAAGGCTGGAATTGAACCCGGGTCCCTGGTGCTGTAAGGCAGCAGTGCTAACCACTGTGCCACCGTGCCGTAGGGCTGGAGGTGATTAAAGAGGTAGGAAGGGATGAGAATTTAAAAATCAGGCCATTGCTTCACCAGGAGGCACTGGAGGAGATGTATGGGGCAGTGGTCGGTGAACAGGACTTGGGCCAGTAAAGACTGGCCCAGGCTGTTCAGGAGGGAGTTCTAGGTTATTGAGACAGCAACCCTGGAGGAATGGCAGTATATTTCCAAGTCAGGATAATGTGTGACTTTGGGGTGAATGTGCAGCTGGTGATGTTCCTGTGTACCTGTTGCCCTTGTTCTTCTAGATGGCAGAAGTTGGATCAGATAACAGCAGCAGATTGCCTTCCCTGAGGGGCATTAGTGAATCAAACAGTTTTCATGACAGTCCATTAGTTTCATGGCCAGCATTACTGGGATTAAGTTATTCATTCCAGATTTAGGTAAGTAGGTTTCTATAAAGCTGATAGCATAATGCACTTCAGGACCAGCTCTTTTCTGTATTGATCCTTCCCGTTTATCTTATTGACTTCCTTTTTCTCTATTGTAGCGCCAATACCCTTGTTAACTTCCTCATAATTGATTGTCACGGGTAAGCTGTTCTGTATAAATAAAAACTGAAAGAACTGTGGATGCTGTAAATCAAGAACAAAAACAAAGTTGCTGGAAAAGATCAGCAGGTCTGGCAGCATCTGTGAAGGAAAAAGAAGAGTTTAACGTTTCAGTTCCGGTGACCCTTCCACGGAACTGGGAAACACTGTTCTGAGGAAGGGTCACCGGACCCAAAACGTTAACTCTTTTTTTTCCCTCATAGATGCTGCCAGACCTGCTGAGCTTTTCCAGCAACTTTGTTTTTGAAGCTGTTCTGCATAATCAGTTTGTCAGAGCCGAGTTCTTTTCATTTCCGTTTTTGGCAAGCGCCCACCTGTTTTTGACAGCTGTCTCTGTAGCATATTAGCTATTTTGGTGGATTATTTTCAAGTCTGACCTCTTCTTGCAGAGACCCTCCCAGGTTCAGAAGGCTTGCTGTCACCATCTTTCCTCTCTCAGCTATACCCTACCATGTGAAGTGAGTCAGTCATTCAGGGAGGGGTGCGAGGGACCTGTGTCACAACCTGCTTCTGCCAGCTAATTAGAGAGGGGTCTGAAAATTAAATTTCACATTTCCTTCACCCTATGCTCCTCCCAGGATGTTATTGGCACAGTTTGAAAGACTGGCTTATGCTGTAGAAACGCTGTCCAGTACTTGCTGTTCCATCATGCAGATATCACATTGTACAATATGACATGAGAGCTTTATTATCCAGTTAAAACACAGGTAATGCTAATTTGGATTTACGTTAAGAGTAATTTCTAGGTTGTAGGTGTATATAATCTTTGGGCGGCTCAGTGATCAGTATTGCTGCCTCACAGCACTGGGAACCCAGGTTCAATTCCACCCTCGGGTGACTGTCTGTGTGGAGTTTGCACATTCTCCCCGTGTCTGCTTGGGTTTTCTCCGGGTACTCTGGTTTCCTTCATAGCCTAAAGATGTGCAGGTTAGGTGGATTGGCCATGCTAAATTGCCCGTAGTGTTCAGGGATGTGTAGGTTCAGTGGATTAGCCTTGGGAAATGCAGGGTTATAGGGCGAGTCTGTGTGGGATGCTCTTCAGAGCTGGTGTGGACTTGTTGGGCTAAATGGCCTGTCTTCACACTGTAGGAACGCTATGGATTCCATGAGTATAATCTGGATTAAATTTAACTGTTGGTTTTAAGGCCTGGGTTCATTACTGGAAAATTGTCCAAGTAGCTTTTGGCTTTATCGCCATTTAAATATAACAGGATAAACCACATGTTGGTGCAATCATATAATGCACAAGATTGTTGACAAGCTTACAGCACAGAAAGGCTGTGGTTAAATACCCGCAGTGGCACAAAATTACCCCTTTTAATGATTTCAATGCTGGCTTTTGAATTGATGCTGAGGGCCACAAAAACATCTTGTGGATTTTTGCGCGTTGCTGTGGGGTCCACATCAGTTCCACATCCAAAATCTAGAGCTTCCAAAGTGAGCCTCTTTTTTGTTCATTCTTCAAAATGTATGTCTGCCATGATCTGTTTGTAGTCAAAATACTTTTGATCTCATTTGAAATTCTTGTGCAATCAAACTGACCTGTCCTAACATGGTAAAGAATGGAAGAAAATATTTATTTTTTATTCACTACTACTGAACCCTTCCACCTACTGTCCTCTTTGAAGCACTGGAATTTCCAGATGGCACAATGACAGTTGTCTCATGATGTTTTACAGCCTACTTCATCAAATGAATTGATGGACTTCTAGACCTTGTGCAGGCTATTATGCAGATAGTTTTATGATGCATCGATAATAAACTACATTTCAGCATTATTCCCTCTTTTTCACAGATTATCCGTGTGCTATGGTGGTACTACTTCTCTAAAGTCATAGAGTTCATGGACACTTTTTTCTTCATTTTACGAAAGAACTACCATCAGATCACTGTTCTGCATGTCTATCACCACGCCACCATGTTCAACATCTGGTGGTTTGTTATGAACTGGGTGCCCTGTGGTCACTGTAAGAGAGATAACAGTCTTTCCTTTTTTTAGGAGATTTATTGTTTTTTCCAAAGGGCAACTAAACCTAGACTTGTTTGGACCTTTGATTTTATTCCTCTCCTCAGTGCATTAGGTTGACACTTAGGCACTGAGTTTATTTGGAACTTATTGCCACTGCATTGTGTCACTTTGTAGAGCAGAAATTTTGTGGCTTTGGCTGGAATTGGTTCATGAGCACAATGCCTCCTTACAGGCGGTAATAAAGCTTAATTTATTTCCGTGTGGTGCCCAATGTTGGACAACCTGTACATCCTTCATGAACCCTCCTACAATTGGCTCTGAACTGAATGTTTATGACCATGTTCAGTATCAAACAATGATTGGGCTTGTCCCACGTCCTGTCAAAAGGCAAACCGCTCGTAGATGGATGTTGTTGGGAAATTGAAACCAAAAAAAAAAAATTCTGAGCATTTTGGATTTAGTTGCTCTTCAAAGCTGCAGTGTTCCTTTTCAAATTGCCAGTTTTACACACTTAACAGCCAGGCATCTGTGCTTCGAAATGGCTTACTTGAAAATTACTGTTTGATAAAATTTTAATATTCTTTTGAATTGAAAACAGGCCTGCTTGAAAATGGTATGGTGCCCCCATTTAAACGTAAAGTACTAGTCACCATTACTTTTGCTTAACCCGTGGATCAGCCGGAGGTTGTTAAATTTTTTATTGCCTCTTTATGCACTTGAGGTATCTCTTGTTAAGTGAATGAAAATCCTTTAAAAGCACTTAAGATGATTAATGGACTAATTTTGCACAATTCTGACCAGTTTTGATTTGGGTCTACATAGCTCTTTGAAAGAACCAGTAGAGTACAAAAGCAGAAGCACAAAATATCCTATTCAGTCATTACTAATTTTAAATGAGAAGTGATTTTTCATGCCTAGTCACATTTACTGCTTTTCCTGTTAATTGAGAGGAGTTTGCAGACAGACCTGACAGTATGGCGAGGCCTGTCAAAATCTTGACAGTCAGCCAACAAAATATTCATCTTGACTGTTTGCGATCTTTTGTGTTCCTGTTGTGAAGGCAGTCTGGTTGGTGGTAGTACATACATAGACCTGAGAAATTAAAAACAGGCTTGAAGATTGACTCAGCTTCATAAAGACCAGATCTTTGGGAAGCTAATTCTGAAGCCTTATTCTCAAGTATTTTGATTGTTTTTGTGTTTTCCGCCATGTACTTATAAGCTTTAAATTCTAGTTTATCCAATATCCAGTTATACAAGTCGATTGTACACATGTGAACCCAATTAGGAGAAAACCCATTTTGCAGCTATGTAACCTCCTGACTGAAGGTGATTGTACGTTTTTAGGATTTAATCAGGGAAAGAGAATGCCTACTAAAATTTCTTAGTGACTTGCAAAATATAAATGCTGTACTTTTTCAAACTTAATAATGGTGACTCTTATCTACTAAATTCAGGAGGTTGAGTCTGTTTGTTGGATCCCTTTTGAAATGATTGTCTCACTGCAAACAAAGATAGCGTTTCTCAATTTTTGTATTTTTCCAGATTTTAACATCAATGTATTTTCTCACATGCATTTCGATTGTGTTCAGCTGGCACTCTTTCTTGCTTTGCAGCTTTCTTTGGGGCCACTCTCAACAGTTTCATTCATGTGTTGATGTATTCCTATTATGGGCTTTCTGCTATCCCAGCCATGCGACCTTATCTTTGGTGGAAAAAATACATTACTCAAGGACAATTGGTGAGTGTAATACTATTTAATTCAGATGCCAGAAAGTTGTGAGTAACCTCAAATTTTCAACAGAAACATACAAAATTAAGAAGGGAATAGAAAAGATAGATGCAGAGAGGTTGTTTCCACAGACAGGTGAAAGTAGAACTAGAGGGCATAGCCCCGAAATAAGGGGGAGCAGATTTAGGACTGAGTTGAGGAGGAACTTCTTCACTCAAAGGGTTGTGAATCCCTGTCCAGTGAAGCAGTTGAGGCTTCCTCGTTGAATGTTTTTAAGGCAAAGATAGATTTTTGAACAGTAAAGGAATTAAAGGTTATGGTGAGTGGGTGGGTAAGTGGACCTGAGTCCATGAAAAGATCAACCACGATCTTACTAAATGGAGGAGCAGGCTCGATGGGCCAGATGGCCTACTCCTGCTCCTACTTCTTATGTTCTTATTGTATTTTGTCTTGTGCATTTTTTTTTGCAGAGAGCTATAGTTGAATTTGTTACTTTGCACTGGAACACAAATTCTTCAGTTTTATTTTGTGCAATTATTTATCTGCAGTTTCCTTCCTCCTTACATGGTATCTGATCTCCATGCTACTATTTATGACACAGTGTACTTTCCAATTGGTAGCTGCTGTGTCCTTGACTGATCTTTACAAAATCTGTCTTATCTATGTACCAGCCCATAAAAAGATGGCAGATAACTTTGAAATGTATATGGGAAAGAGAAAGAAAAGAGAGTTCTGACAGTGCATTGCAATAATCCAAAAAAAAGGAAATAATGAGGGAAAATATTCTGTCAAAACCAGCAGGTTCGGTGGGAGATACTGTGCAGATGGAGAGAAATTTGGGACATCTTTGACTGTCAAAGTTGAAAAATGAATCTGTGAAGTTAGATATAATCTTTCAGGGGAGAGGAGGTTATGGAGTCTGAGATTTTCTGAACTGTCTATGTGTCTGTACATTTCTACAGCCCATGGTGGTTGAAGAAAGTAAGAAAGGTCATAAATGGCTTTTTAAAGCCTGCAAATCATAGGAACAACTAACGGCTGAGAGGCAAGGAGATTAGTGCTTCGAATGGGATAGTTGATGTTAGGATGTAATATAAAATGAATGTCCAGAGAAATCATAATATGTTAATATTAATATAATCATGAAATAGGCTACTATGGCGAGCGGAAGATTGGGGCTGAGAGAAAGATTGCGTATCAGACAACAGCGTTATCTTGTATTGTGTCCAGAAGACTGGAAGAGATTTTAGAAACACTGTCTCAGAAATGTAGATGTATTCACAAAGTCTTGGGGTTTATGAAACACTGAGATTTATTGAGGGGGAAAGATCTAGTTGTTAGAAAAAGAAAAAAGTTGAATCACCTTTAAAAAAAATTGAATGGATTGGAATCTCCATTTTAAATTATTGAAAATTATGTATTGATTGATGATTGACCAAGGATGGGGCTGTCAAAGGTAAGAAAGACAGGCAAAGGAAAATTTTAAAAATCGAAAGAAAGCAAGTTCTTCATTGCCTCAGCAGTGAGAACGCTATGAAGGCTGTGTGCAGTCTAAGTAAGTTGTTAAATACAGAATGGCATCATCACTAAAGGTTTGGGTAGGCTCAAACAATTAGTGAGCGAAGATCATTGATGGGGAGGAAGGGAAGAGTGTGAAAGAGAATAGAACCTTAAGGGATGCCTGAGTTAACAGAGAAAGTGACATGTAACATTAACTGCAACCCAAATGAAGGAATGAAAGAAGCAGGACAGCAATGAACAGCCTAAGCTGTTGTACCTACATTATTGTAGCTGAGTGGGTAAAGAAATGCTGAGTTGGAAAAAGACTTAACCTTACTTATGATTGAGATGTTTTTGGGACAATGCTTTTGTAATAGCAATTGAAATCAGTATATAAATATTAAGATATAAATATTAAAAAGATGAGCAAAATGCTTTAAACATAATGAACAAAGATTTAATGTAGGTACAAGTCGATGGGTCATGTAGAAGATTTTATGCTGGTGCCTAAAGAAAGACTAAAGTAAATAACTGCATATACCATTATTATGAAGTAAGTTGGACATAATGTCCAGAGTATGTATCCATCAAAATCCAGGAGTTACTGTCAGAGTTGCCCTGCATTTTTAGATTTAAGATGAGGATGGTCCTTGGACCCCAAGGACCTATCTTAGCCATCTTCTGTTCTTTATGTGCATAGTGTTCCCTGTTTGTAACCATTTGAAAACGTAGTATGCAGCACCTAGTCCTACATCTCACCTGCCTCCCTTGGCCTTTCCTAAACAATAACACTACTTGTCAGATGCCTAGTACTGGAACAGTATAAATTTTCTCCTGTGAAACATGATGTAGACGGAAGCCCCTTGCAAACTATTGTTCCCCAGCCAACCGGTTCATCCCTCTCCCTGGAGACTGTGTAATGCTGGCCAGACTGTTTACAATCTTGGTGCCATATTTGATATCAAGATGAGCTTTTAACCGCACCGCACTAACGTCACTTATTTCAACCACTGTAACATTGCTCAACACTGTCTCCTACTTCATCTCATCTGTTGCTGAAACCCTCATCCAATCTCTGTTATCTGTACAATTGAATGTTCCAATGTACTGCTGGCCCGTCTCCTTTCTTCTACCCTCTGTAAACTTGAGCTCTTCTAAAACTTTGTTGCCCACGTGCTGACTTCACCCATCATTCCTGTGACCTACATTGCCTCTCTGTTAAGCAACATATCAACTTTAAAATTCTCATCTTTATTTTCACTTCCCTCCATGGGTTTACCTCTTCAATCTCCACTAGCCCTGCTCCCATCTAATTGTGACCTCTTGAGCATCCGTGGTTTCAATCATTCAACTCAGCGACTGTCTCTCCAGCCGGCCAGGAACAGAGGCTTTTGAATTTACTTTCTTAATGTCTCTAACTCTTCCTTTCATTACTCCTCTAAGGTGCCGCTCAACACCAAACTTCTGATCAAGATTTTGGTCAGCTGTCTCAATAATACCCTGTCTAGCCCCATGACAAAGTTTGTTTAACAATGTTCCTGTGAAATGCCTCAGACCATAAAATATGTTACATGAATATAAGTAACCACAAGACTTTACAAGCAGGAGTAGGGCATTCAAACTCGTGAACTTGCTTCATCGTTCTAGATCATGACTGATCATCTATCTGAAAATTATTTCCCTGCATTAAATAATTGCTTGCCGGTGCAGAACTTAAACATTGCTAAAAAGAGACACAAAATGGAAGCTTTTCGTCTTGCACTCATTTGGGCATGGATGTAAGAAACCAAACAGCGAGAGTTAAACACCAACATACGCTGCATGAGAAAAAGCTGGATGCTGATTGGTTATAGCGTGGAAGCATGAAGATCTGTTCACGCTCAGTCTTCACCAGCTGATTAACTTCCTCAGCAGGCAGCTAGACTCTGATTGGCCAGGGCATCGCCATGGGGAAAGCAACAGAGATTAGCCATCTCCACAATGTTTTTTCTCAATGAAACAGTTCCAATGTATGCACAAACTCCTTTTGCTAACACTGTATAGGGCTGGGCATGTGAATAAATACAAATTCTAACAAATATAAATGAAACATACCAAGAGCCCAACTGATAATCTAACATTGCTTTCCAATATAATCCATAGCACAGTCTGAATTATTTAATAAATGTCATCCAATAGCAGAATTACATCCAGTATTTGACACCCTGAGTTGTATTTTCCACTTCCTTATACAGTGTGAAATGTACAGAGGGAAATGTGGGAAAGTTAAGGTAGTGTCGAATTGAAAAGCATACAATGTGGCAAAAGATTGCTGGTAAACCAGAAGGTTGGCAAAGATTTAAAATACAACAAAAGATGACCAAAAATGTAGAGGAGGAGCTTGTAAACTATCAAAGTAAAGTAGAAAGTAATATAGAGTTGTCAATAATAGCTTCTGTAAATATCTAAAAAGGAAGAGAGGCAAAAGTGAAAATAGAGCACTTAGTAAATGAGGCTGAGGAAATAATGGGAACCAGTGAATGGCAGAGCGTTCAATTAAACACATAGCATCAGCCTTCATTGTAGAAGACACTAATAGCATTCCAAAATTACTAAATAATCAAATGGCAAAGGTGATCTTAGGAAACCAACGAGGTTAAAGGCCAATTATGCTGAACAATATCCCAAACTAAACTAGTGCCACCTGCCTGCTCCTGGCTGGTATCCCTTCAAATCTTTACAGTTCATGTACTTATCCAAATGTTATAGAAGAATAGAATATGTCTTTTAGACATTGAAATTGTACCCACACCTACCACTTCTTCAGGAAGTTCATTCCACACCCTCTATGTAAAAATATTTGCCGCTCATTATGAAAATACGGAGTATGGAAGGTACGGAGAGATTTTCTTGTGAGAAATGGTTGAATAGATTGTGCTTGTACACATTAATGCACACACCACTACTGTCAGTTCGGAGGCAATATGATCCTGGTAGCACCAAAAGTCCAGGCATTAAGGAGCCACATTAAGCAGCTGAGATGCCTAGGTAACAATCCTTTAATCGAATAAGTTAACAGGTTTTACTGCCTCATGTCTGCTTACAGATGTCACGGTTCCCCTGTAGAGTGCTGCACCAGATCAGGACACTAGCTCACAGCAAATCTCCCCTTCAAAACCAGCAGAAAAGTGAATGGCAGCTTTCAGCATAGTAAGCAGCAACGGCTGACTGCAAAATCGAGTGCATTCCCTGAAATTACATTACAAAGGAGAGATTCTATTTTGTTAGTTGATGCAGGACTTTTGAGAATTAGTGTAAAGGTGGGCTAGGAAGAGAAGGAATCAAACGGAGTAGTTTTGTGCCAATCCATGAACTAAGTGAAGCAGTGAGATGAAATGTTCAGCATGCAGCAGGTTCAGATATAATTTGCGTATCATTATATGTGCTTCAGACTCCTAAGAAAGGGATGTACTGAGTACATGAGATATTTTAAGGAAGGCAGAAGCATTGGGAGTGGGAAAGAGAGAGAGATGAGAGGGGTAATTTTAACTTCTTCACTTTGGGGCTTGTCTGTGTGGAATTTGTCTGATTTTCATCCTGCAAAAAATGCACTTGTCCTCTGTCATATTATTGTGCCAAGCCTGAGAAGTGGAATATTAGCTCAGAGGTTTCACTTTATTTCAGAACATTATGATCTTCGAGAAGGATCTATTTTGAGAGTTGGGGGCGAGTCAAGGGTTAAAGTGGAGTAACCTGGGTATGGGAAGTGAGTGTCGAGGAGAAATCTGATGCTCGTTATGTGCTAATGCCATCATAAACATGCCTGAAATGTGCTCTTTGATTTCTATTTCTAGCAAATTACAAACAGATTCTTAAAGAATGCATTTTCATTTTGGCTAGGAACAACAGTCAAAGGTCAGAGATCTCTGTCTAAGATGTCTTTAGGGTACTGTAGCCTGCGCAATTTTTATTTCACCCTCTAATGACCAAGTATGGGCAGTAGTTGAAGCACTTTTGCATTGTTAGAGCTGATTGACGAAAGGTCAGCGATAGATCTATTTTGTGGTATTTAACCAAGAACTACATTGTGAATCTAAATCGCTGTTAAAGAAGGAATCTGGAGCTGCTACTGAGCTTAATTTAGAGACTCAAAAAAATTGATAAAATTACAGTCTGACATTTGGTGTGCGAACATTGAAGAAGGAGTTGTCAACTGTGCTAATAAGTAGCAATAACTGACGACTGTTACTTTCCTATAAGCTCAGCGGAAACTCAGCTTCCAGGTGCAAATAAGTCAAGGCAGTTATAGCAGAGCCTGTGAGAAGTTCATGCACACACACAGACACGTACAGACACGCGTGTGCGCACACACACACTCAACTCGAGAATGTTTTTGCATTTGTGTGGCAAGTTTAAAAATAAAATTAAATTGCTCTAATTAGTTCAGTAGTTTTAGTATGGTGTTCTGTAGCTGTATTTTACTTTGTCATTTTATGCATATTTTTAGACTCAAAATTTCTGATTTTGTTTTACAATTGTTCCAGCTCCAGTTTGTTCTAACAATAATCCAGACCAGTTTTGGCGTTATCTGGCCATGTGGATTTCCAAGTGGCTGGCTGTACTTCCAGATTGGATACATGATCTCTCTGATTATCCTCTTCACTAATTTCTATATTCAGGTAGGTTATTATGTTAGGCATCTGTTTAATCTGCACCCATTCAATGTGTACCACTCAATATTTTCAATTATGTCTGAAAATCTTGATCTAGGGCATGTGAGTCAAAATGATTTTGAGTGGTTTAGAACATAAGAACTAGGAGCAGGAGTAGGCAGTTCATTTACCATCTAATTCAATCCTGGCTGATTTCTCCACTTTCCTGCTTGCTCCCTGTAACCCTTTAACCTGTTATTAATTAAAATTTGTCAATTTCTTCCTTTAATTTACTCAATATCCCACTCTGGGGTAGTGAATTCCACAGACTTGTGACCCTTACAAGATGATCAGAGGATTAGATAAGGTGGACAGTGGGAGCCTTTTTCCTCGGATGGTGATGGCTAGCATGAGGGGACATAGCTTTAAATTGAGGGGTGATAGATACAGGACAGATGTCAGAGGTAGGTTCTTTACTCAGAGAGTAGTAAGGGCGTGGAATGCCCTGCCTGCAAAAATAGTAGACTCGCCCACTTTAAGGGCATTTAAATGGTCATTGGATAAACATATGGATGATAATGGAATAGTTTAGGTTAGATGGGCTTCAGATTGGTTTTCACAGGTCGGTGCAACATCGAGGGCCGAAGGGCCTGTACTGCGCTGTAATGTTCTATGTTCTACGTTCTTTGGAGAGAAGTAATTTCTCCTTGTCTCTGTCTTAAATCTGCCGCCCTTTAGGCTATGACCTCTCGTTCCAGATTACCCCATAAAGGGAAACATCAGTTCTCTGTCTACTTTGTCAATCCTCTTTAGCCTGTCATCTACCTCATTTAAATCACTTTTCATTCTTCTAGACTCTAGTGAGTATAGGCCTAAACTGTTCAACCTCTCTTCATAAAACAAACCTGTCATCCGGGTGGTGTGTATGTGGAATGAGCTGCCAGAGGAAGTGGTAAAATTACAATACTCAAAAAACATTTGGATTGGTACATGGTTAGGAAAGGTTTAGAGGGATATGGGCCACACACAGGCAAATAGGACTAGTTCAGCTTATGAAACCTGGTCGGCATAGACAAGTTGGGCCGTAAGGGCCTGCTTCTGTGCTGTATGACTCTGGAATAACCAATGAACCATCTCTGAACAGCCTCCAGTGCAGTTACATCCTTCCTCAAGTAATGAAGCCAAAGCTGTATGTAGTACTCCAGTTGTGGTCTCACCAATGCCTTATACAGTTGCAACGGTACCTCCTTACTTCTATACTCCATACCTTTAGCAATAAATGCCAAAGTTCCATTTGCAGTCCTTATTACCTTTTTGTACCTGCATACTAGCTTTCTACAATTCATGAATAAAACACCCAGATCCATGTGTTCTGAAGCATTTTAGGGTTTCTCTCCATTTAGATACTAAGTTATCTTTGTTGCTCCAACCAAAATCGATAATGTCGCACTCATCCACGTTAAACTTCAACTGTTAGACTTTGGCCCATTCACCTAAACTGTCCGTATCAATTTGTAAATTTCTTGTTTCTTCAGTTCAACTTACTTTCCCACCTATTTTAGTATCATCTGCAATTTTGACTATAGTACTTTCTGTCCCTGCATCCAAGTCATTCATATAGATTGTAAATAGTTGGGGCCTGGGAAACGAACCCTGTGGCACCCCACTAGTTTTAGCTTGTCCACCAAAAAGGACCCATTTGTCCTGATTCACTGCTTTCTGTTGGTTAGCCTGTACTGTATCCAAGCTGATAAATTACCCATAATCCCATGTGATCCTACCTTGTGTGTTAACATGTTGTGCAGCACTGTATCAAAATGTCTTCTGGAAGTCCTGATATATTACATCTACAAGACCCTCATTTGCTTGTTGCAGCTTTGAAGAACTGTAGCAAATTACTCAAACAGTTTGCCTTTCATAAAACCATGTGGACTTTGCTGAATTGTGTTTTGACTTTCCTGTTACTACTTTGTAATGGATTCCCACAATTTCCCAATGACAGACATTAAACTAACTAGTCTATAGTTTCCTACTTTCTGCCTTCCTCCTTTTTTGAATAAGGACCTTATATTAGTTTTGTCCAATCCACTGATACCTTTTCAGAATCCAGAGAATTTTGGAATATTCTAACCATTGCATCCACTATGTATGCTGCACTTCCTTTAAAGTGTTTATACGTACTTGAGATACATGTAAACAAACGTAATCCTTTAAGGATCAAAGAGGCCTATTATTTGTTGCTTGAGAGATATTAGGTTGTTTTGAGGGACAGATTTGACACAGATTTTCTTTATTCTGCCACCATCAACACATACTAATTTGTATTAATTGAATAATGATATCTAATAAGTTGTATTCATTTAAGCTAATCATCATACCAATTGTAAATAAATCACCTAAAATCATCATGTAATTGAAGACAAGAAAGCTACTTGACCCATTGTACAAAGTCTTTGTTAAAGCATCTAATGCTTTTGTTGTTTTTAGCTCTAATACTCTTTTCATACACTGTCTTTGTGTTGAAAATAATTCTGATATCAATTCTAAAGTTACCTTTTATTAGCTTTAACATATAAGAACATAAGAACTAGGAGCAGGAGTAGGCCGTCTGGCCCTTCGAGCCTGCTCCGCCATTCAATAAGATCATGGCTGATCTTTTCGTAGACTCAGATCCACTTACCTGTCTTCTCACTGTATCCCTTAATTCCTTTATTGTTCAAAAAAAATCTACCTTTTTTTTAAAAGCGTTTACTGAAGTAGCGTCAACTACTTCACTGGGCAAGGAATTCCATAGATTAACAACCCTCTGGGCGAAGAAATTCCTTCTCAATTCAGTCCTAAATCTGCTCCCTCTAATCTTGAGGCTATGCCCTCTTGTCCCAGCTTCACCTGCCAGTGGAAACATCCTCTCTACTTCTATCTTACCTATTCCCTTCATAATTTTATATGTTTCTATAAGATCCCCCCTCAATCTTCTGAATTCCAATGAATATAATCCCAATCTACTCAGTCTCTCCTCATAAGCCAACCCCCTCAACTCCAGAATAAACCTAGTGAACCTCCTTTGCACCCCCTCCAGTGCCAATATATCCTTTCTCAAGTAAGGAGACCAAAACTGCACACAGTACTCCAGGTGTGGCCTCACCAGCACCTTGTACAGCTGCAACACAACCTCTCTGCTTTTAATTTCAATCCCTTTAGCAATGAAGGACAAAATTCCATTTGCCTTCCTAATTACTTGTTGTACCTGCAGACCTACCTTCTGTGATTCATGCACAAGGACACCCAGGTCCCTCTGCATGGCAGCATGCTGCAACTTTTTACCATTCAAGTAATAATCCTTTTTACTATTACTCCTACCAAAATGTATGACTTCACATTTATTTACATTGTATTCCATCTGCCTGACCTTCGCCCACTCACTCAATGTATCTGTGTTCCTCTGCAAAGTTTCACAGTCCTCTGCACACTTTGCTCTGCCACTCATCTTAGTGTCATCTGCAAACTTTGACACCCTACACGTGGTCCCCAACTCCAAATCATCTCTATAAATTGTAAATAATTGCGGTCCCAACACCGATCCCTGAGGCACACCACTAGTCACTGACTGCCAGCTAGAATAGCACTCATTTATCCCCACTCTTTGCTACCTGTTAGTCAACCAATCCTCTATCCATGCTAATACTTTACCCTTAACGCCATGCATCCTTATCTTATACAGTAGCCTCTTGTGCGGCACTTTGTCGAAGGCCTTTTGTTAGAGCCATAGAGCTGTACGGCATGGAAACAGTCCAACTTGGCCATGCCAACCAAGTATCTGAAATTATCTACTCCCATTTGCCAGCAGTTGGCCCATATCCCTGTCTACCATTCCTATTCATATACCCATCCAGATGCCTTTTAAATGTAGTAATTTTACTGGCCTCCACCACTTCCTCTGGCAGCTCTTCCATACACCCAGCACCCTCTGTTTGAAAAAGTAGCCCCTTAGGTCCCTTTTATATCTTTCCCCTCTCACCTTAAACCTATGCCCTCTGTTTTGCGCTCCTCTATACTGGAGAAATGACCTTGGCTGTTCACCCTTTGGCTGCCCCTGATGATTTTATAAACTTCTATAAGGTCACCCCTCAGCCTCTACTGAGTCAAGGAAAATAGCCCCAGCCTATTCAGCCTCTCCCTATGGCTCAAACTCTCCAACCCTGGCTACATCCTTGTAAATTTTTTTCAAGTTTCGCAACACCTTCCCTACAGCTGGGAGACCAGAACTGAACACAATATTCCAAATGTGGCCTAACCAATGTCCTGTTTAGCCGCAACTCGGCTTCCCAACTCTTATACTCAATGCACTGACCAATAAAGGCAAGCATACCAAACACCTTCTTCACTATCCTATCTAACTGCAACTCCACTTTCAAGGAACTATGAACCTGGACTCCAAGGCCTGTTTGTTCAGCAACATTCCCTAGGACTTATCATTAAGTGTGTAAGTCCTGCCCTGATTTGCCTTTCCAAAATGCAGCACCTCACATTTATCTAAATTAAACTCCATCTGCCACTCCTCGGCCCTTTGGCCCATCTGATCATGGTCCCGTTGTACTCTGAGGTAACCTTCTTGTCTGTCCACCACATCACCAATTTTGGTGTCATCTGCAAACTTACTAACCATACCTCTTATGTTCACATCCAAATCATTTATATAAATGATGAAAAGCAGTGGACCCAGCACCAATCCTTGTGGCACACCACTGATCATAGGCCTCCAGTCTGAAAAGCACCCTCTGTCTTCTACCTTTTGAGCCAGCTCTGTATTCAAATACCTAATTCTCCCTCTATTCCATGTGATCTAGCCTTGCTGACCAGTCTACCATAAGGAACCTCTTCGAACACTTTACTGAAGTCCATATAGATTATGTCCACCATCCTGCCGTCATCAGTTCCCCCTCGTTACTTCCTCAAAAAACAAGTTAGTGAGACATGATTTCCCATGCACAAAGCCATGTTGACTATCCCTAATCAGTCCTTGCATTTCCAACTACGTGTAAATCCTGCTCCTCAGGATTCCCTCTAACAACTTGCCCACCGCTGATGTCAGACTCACCGGCCTATTATTCCCTGTCTTTTCCTTACCATGTTTCTTAAATAGTGGCACCACATTAGCCAACCTCCAGTCTTCTCGCACCTCACCTGTGGGCTATTGGTGATTCAAATAGCTCAGCAAGGGGCCCAGCAATCATTTCCCTAGCTTCCCTACCCAATTGAATTTAAAGTCATTTTGTGGATTTATCTTTATTTTCTGTTAACTATTTCATTTACCTTTTCAAGATCAACTCCTATACGTTTTCTTTTAATTCTAACACATACAAAATCTAAAAATTCTAAATCAGTTCTCACAACCCATATGTTTGATACTAGCAACCAAATTTATGCCTGTTTTCTACAGTGCCTCCAACCATTGTAGGTAGTCCTGATAATCCATCTCTTGAGGCTTGGTGCACCAGTTATGGGTCTGACATAAGTATAATGAGATTTGAGCAAAGCTAGCTCTGACAAAAAGGGTCCAGACCCGAAACGTCAGCTTTCCTGCTCCTCTGATGCTGCTTGGCCTGCTGTGTTCATCCAGCTCTACACCTTGTTATCTCAGATTCTCCAGCATCGGCAGTTCCTACTACCTCTGACTTCTAGTCTGTTCTTCTGGCCATTTAAATCCTCTGGGCTTTGCTAATTGTTGCTCTAATTGTTGAAATTTTCAACATTAAGTCTACTAAATGACCTCTTTCAACTTGACCTTCAACATCATCCGTGGAATGCCGAAGGTAACCATTTCCTTTTTTACAAGTAGTCCTTCATAGTTGTTTGTGTTTAATTCTGTCTTACAATTAAATATTTTGTGCAACATAATCTTTAGTTTCTGACCTGCCTCCCCTGATTCCACTGCCCATGCTGTTTTGATACCGTCTGTACATTTGACCAATTTGTATTAGTTTTATGAATGTAAATCATTGTTGTAAATTAGAGACTGGTGTGGTCCCCAACACTGAGCCCACGGGTACTCCCAACCTCTACGCTGACATAGAGTAATTTCTAAAACAAATGCATTTTCTACCCTTGAGCTGAATTCTAAATCATCCCAAGAATTTAATTTAGATCCTCGCAGCTTTTATCTCACTTGACAGCCTTTGATCTAGAGCTTCGCCCAAGTCTATTTTGAAAGTGAAGGGACATCACATTGTAGGCTCTCAGCTCATGCAGTATGATACTTCATCAAAAGGAATTTGGCCTCTCATTTAGAATTTTCCCCTCTAGAAATTATCCGGGAGATCCACTTGGGCAAGAGGGAAGACGGACAGACTTCTAGATCCTGCAGAATACATTTCTACCAAACTGCCCCATTGATCAGGCAAACGATTAGTTACAAATTCACAAGCACAGGTTAGAATTATTAAAAACATTGGCAATAAACATGTATGGGGCTTCTCTCTGTCTCTACTGTAGTTCTGGTGAGAGACTAGTGAAACCCCACAAAACAGTGTGACCTAGTTATTCTGGTCTGTACCAGATTAGTGACTGTTTAAACAGTGTTGCAGTGGGAGAGCGGAGGATCTCAACAATTTCACAGCAATAATAGGGTTGAATAGAATAGCCTTTATTGTTACATGAACTCGAATGAGTGCAGTGAGAAGTTAGCAATGTCGCCACTTGGACGCCATCTTAGGTACAGGATACAGAATTGAAAGAGTATAAAAAGAAGTCTAGCATAGGAATGCAAAGTTTTAAAAAGCACTGGAATTACTCAAAGTCCAGAATAAGAATAGAAGTATCTTTAAAAAGTACTCTAGTTACAGTCCTTTTCACTGAGTCCATGACCATTGGGCTTCAGAACTTGAGGCCTCACTGCCTCCTCAGGCTGGCCTCTGGCCCAGGACCCGCTGCCAGGACTCGTCTCCTGGGCCAGCCTGGACTCATGACATGCAGTGTATAGTCCAGCAAAGAAGTACTGGCGTCAAAATAATGATGTTTAACTTACATAATGCATGACCAGATCCCAGGTAATCTCGGAGCATGTCATATCGACCCTGTCAGGAAAGATTTCAGATTACTGGTCTCTAAGCTCTACAAAGAAAGCCTTTCATTCTGTTTGTTTTTTCAAAACAGTTTTGGTACTTTCAAATTTGGCATCTGGAATGTGAGGTCTTGACCAGAACACAGATCAATTTTGTTTTTGAAGCCGCCCTCTTCAGATTTTCTTGCGGACTACTGTTTGGTTTAGAGGAGCTTTATTTTGGTTTTCAGGTGCTCCTTTTCATTATTGTTAAAGCATTTATTAGGGGATATAATCCCGAAATAACAATAGCTTCTGAATTTGTGTTGACATTTGGAATATTGGGGCAGTTGCACAAAACTGGAAAAGTTCAACTACCCTTTTTACTGCAGGTCACATTTCAATCATAGGTTTAAATGTAACAATTCACATAGCACTCATTCTATTAGTATCCACAACAATTCCCCCACCGGCTGCTTCTGAACTAATAAGGTCTTAAGCTAAAGATTCCACATTCATTTGGATGGAATTCAATACCTCGGTGATTTCAGGTTTCCCTGGCTTCTCAATAGCTGAGTGTTCTTCTGTTGACAAGTTCAAACAGTACGCGTCCTTAGCAGCGTCCATCGTAACACTGCTGTTTGCCTTCTCCCTCCTATCCCTTCTCTTGCCATCTTTACTTACAGACTCCACATCTTCTAACACAACCTGGGTTACTCCCAGACACAGTAGCCCCATTCCCAGCCTCATCGTCGGCCCCCCGCTCACTCACTCTACGTCCTTTCTTTCTTACTCACTGTCTGATCACATGGTGTTATCTCTTTAGCGTTTGTTGCTGGTAGTGAGCCTATCGGCAGTAAATGCAGGAGGGAACCGGTGTGTGACGGTTCAGTAATAACTCCCTGTTCCACGTACAGGGCAATTGGTTGGCTCTGTGATTGAATTCTTCCAGGTGTCCTGAGGGTTTCATGTATGAATTCACCTGCATTCCTGTATTGTGAGCACTGCTCCTGAAAAAGAGGGTGCTCTCCAAGTGAATAGCTAGGCCAGATTGTTTGTGATGTCGACTTGTCTATAAAATAATAAGCAGAATCGACTCATCTGATATAATATCTGTATAATACCTCACTAATTCATGGTTAGTTCCTTGCTATCCAAGTTGGAGAGAATTGGGCTCTAATTTTAACTGCCTGACGGAAACCAAGCAGGAGGGTCCCGACCTGAAACGTCAACTTTTCCTGCTCCTCTGATGTTGCCTGGCCTGCTGTGCTCCTCCAGTTCCACAGTGTGTTATCTCTGACTTCAGCATCGGCAGTTTTTACTATCTCTGAGGAGGGTGGGAGAGGGCTGTTAGAATAACTCGCTGATCCATCTTCCTGCCATGTCCTGATCTTCAGTTTCTAACCCTCTTCCCTCGCTCAGTAATTTTAGTTGAAGGCTGGGGTTGGAATTAATTGGAGGCTTGGATAGTGGTGATGCAGAGAGAGCCCAAATGATCAAACTGTCATGAACCAGGTAGTGGGAGAGGTCCGGAAGGTAAACTTAAAGTTTTACTTTGGGCTTCCCTGTGGAATAGGAATGCTTCTCGGAGCCTCATGCTGGAGATTTGGGCCTTGGTTTTTTTCACTTCCTTCCAGACCCTGGTGCCTCCTATGAGGGCAAGTTGGCCCAGAGTCATGTCCTGCCTCCAGAGCTCTACCCTGCCCCTCGGTCAGTTAGTGGGTCTGTTTGGGTGTTGACTGGGACTTTGCAAACTAAGCTGTGCAGTTAAACACAATTTCTGCTAAAATTGAAATCTTAAATATCATTATCCAGGTCTGCAAATACTTTTGTCAAACCTCTGTATAAAACGTTGTGTATTTCTATGTAAAATGTAAGACACTGGTGAGAGGATATAATTGTTCTTTATATATGATGAGATTGCATTAAAAAAAAGTTATCTATGCCCTTAAGAAAAATTGCTTGTATACAAGATGCTTATTCATTAGAATTGCCTACAAGTGGGCTCACTGTGCTATGCTTTGCAAAAGAAACTCCATTCATTTCTTTGCTCTTTTGTATTTGAACAATTTCAGACCTACAAGAAAAAGAGTGCTTTCAAAAGCAAAGACTGTCTAAATGGTTCTACAATAGCTGCGAATGGACACACAAACGGCCTTTCTACACAGATGGATCATTATTCAGAAAAGAAAACTCATTAAGATCGATCCCAGGGCTAGAACCGCGTTTGTCAGCACACTAAAATTTTCGTGATGTTCTGAGGCAATTTCAAAAGTTACCAATGTGTTAACTATATCCAGTCTGCATTATATAGCCATATAGGGTAGGGATTTGGAATTGAATATTGTTGTGATCAATAGAAAAATGAATTTAGAGAAACGTCCATATATGAAAGCGTATCTAAGTGATAGAAAGGTATGGAAAATGATACCAACCCTATATAGTTTCAAAAATGGTAGGATATTTCCTAAACTAGAGCAATGGACCCCAGTGTGAATCAGGTAAAATGTGGTTGATTTTAGTTTACAATACTGTTGTTGCCTTACTGCTTTTTTGTGTGTTAGGTACTGTCTTGTACTTACTTTAATCTTAAACCATATTTATATGTTTCAACTGAAATGTATTTGGCACAGGGTGTTGACCCACATGCCTTAGTTTTAGCTAAAGTTGCAATGCTGCATAATTATTATGTTTTAAATGTTCGATAATCCATACCTCTTTCTTGATTATAAATAGTTGACTTGCTTGTTCTAACAACATAAAGTAGTGTTGTGTTGCTGCCACCGTGTAGGAACAGGTAACTGAGAACTGCATAGACATGTTTGACACAGTCAATTTCTCTTAGTGCAATGACTGTCCAACAACGGACAGCTGCTCAGCATATCCACCTTATGCCTCCAGTTTGATTGAATGGTCAACAATTGAGTGAAACTCTTCTCTTTCCACTGTTGCTCCTGGACCAAGTTCCAAGTTAGTAGTCCCTTCATCGTGCGCACCTTGATATTGGCCCCAATCGCTCTTCTCAGGAATTTCCACAATTGTTTGTTCATTGAGACAGTTTGCTGTGTTACTGCAGAATTGAGGCTGTAGTTTAATAGCTACCCAGACCTTCTACATTTGTGCAAAAGCTGAAAGTCTTGCGTGCAGTTGAGATTTTTTTTATAAAGTTGGAAATGCAGAGTACTCCGATAAAGATCTGGGAGAGAGAAAAAAGTTTTTGTTTCCGTTGCTGATTGACCTACTTTGTATGTTCAAGATTTTCTCCTTTTAATTCAGATTTCCAGCATTCCTTTTTGTCAAAAAAGAATTTTGTGCTGTTGACCTAAGCTGAGACACACTTATATTACAAGGGTACACTTTTCCTATTTTGAAGGGTTTGGTTGAAGCCTACTTGTGGCACACCATGCAAAAATAAAGGATATGAAGTAACTTAATGATGTTGTTATACTTACCTGTCTCATGTGAGTGAGGTGAATTAAATATCGAAATTGTACCTTAGTTGCTGTGGCCAGATTGTGTGATGTACATGTTTGTGGTCTTGTTACATCCAAAATGCAAATCATTTCTGTGCGTATACTGATGTTTCTGTGACGTAGTGTTGTGTAAGTGCAGCAGCACTATTAGTTTATGAGGAATTTGAGACTCTAGAAGTAAGTGTGACATTTTTCACTCCGTACACATTGAAAATATTTGCTGGCTGGAGTCCTTCAGCTTTTTTGTGAGGGGTGAACTTGAATTGGTAGGTAGATAGAGAGCTTTCATTACATGAGAATGTCTTGATTACCTCTTGATTCTGGGGCAGCAGTTATCTCTTTAATTTGGCAGTAAAAGCCATGGATGAGTAGCTAAAAGAAGTGCAAAGATTCCATACCTACCAGAGATGGACTGGAAAACATGCTGTAATTGAAACAGATTTAAGCTGTAGTACACACTGGAAGGTTGATTTTTTTTTTCTCTCTTGTGTCTAAATAATTTAATTTTAAAGTTGCAGTGAATATCGGTATTTATTAAAATGAAGTAATCTTTGTGTGAGGTATCAAATGAGTTTAAAGTATAACATTTATGCAGCAGTGTCACTTTAAATAACTTGTGCAGTTACACATATGCCTTAAAAATAAATTGCAGGGTCCAAGGTTTTGTTGCAGGCTTAACCAATGGTTTAAGTGAGGTCAGTGCAAAAGCAAGAAAGTTCATGTAATTTCTAATTTGCATTAATCAGCAGTATGGTGACCCTAATTCTCTTATCCATATTTGAATTAAATGTTCGCTAATAATCAGTAAGTCTCAAATGCTTCAACATTACATTAACAGGTTTGGTGATATACTTTCAAATGAACAACACATCGATCTTTATTACTAATGAGTCAGTGTCATATCTAATGAAATATTACCCCTAACTATTAAAAAAAATCCTGATCCCTTTAATTGGATGTATTATTTTTGATGGTGTTATATATTGAGTGAGTCTTTGGCCATGGTGACTCTAGTTATGAACATTTCAGTGAAATTGCCATGCTATGTCCAACCCATACAAGGAATGTAATTGGTTCACGTGGAGTGTGAAGCAGCTTCTTTTGCCATCCTATCTAGTACTGAGTTTGCACACCCCACCTATAAATCCTGGGATGTAAGCATTAGCTGAGGCTAAGGCAAAAGTTACGGCAGTCAGTCATTGTCCAAAATGTAGAAGACAGTTTCAGATTTTAAAAAAATTACAAAAAGCATTAATGAAGCTGCAATCCATTTTCTAATATGATTCAGTTTATAGAAAGGTTTACCAATATTTTATGCATTTGGGTAAAAAGTCATTGAAACTACATGAAAATACCGTTTTGGTGTTTCTAGTCAATCAATCTATTCACTTTGTGAAAAAATCATGAAAGGTACTTGTTTGGTCAGGTGACAGTACATTTTACTAGACTTAGTACAAAGAGAATAGCCAGTGTACATTTTTTGGTTCCACTTTTAACATTCATAATGGGAGCAAAAGGTTTGAATATGGAATTATCAATGGTTAACTTCCTAAGGAGCCAAGGTCTCCTGATTACATATAGGGTTTGAGGTTGCTTTAAATGCTATAAAGTCAAGAATCGAAGCCTGACTGTGAATGCTTACACAGTGCAATGTGGAACAAGAATGCACATACATACAGACTAAACCATTGGATATCAAAGAGCAGTACCTTTAGATGGGCCAGAATATGCAGCCAATGTTGAGACTTGCTTGAATTGCTGAAGCACTTCGTTTCTTTTCAAATGTTTCTGCAGAGTAACCATCTCGTATTCTTCAGAGTTTTTCATTAGTTCCCCCGCCCCCATATTTCAAAAGAAAGTAACCACTTTGTTTGTGGGGCTTATTTGAAGACTGCGCTACAAACTTTAAGTAAAGCCGTTCTTACTGAAGTATAACATTCTGTATCCCTTTTCTCATACAGGCACTGAATTTTTCAGTTAATGCTGCTCTCAAATGTCAAATTACTTTTTTTTAAAAAAAATAAAACTTTAATCATGAGTGTGCTGGTAACCTGTGTCTGAGTAACTTGTACATTCATCAGTTGTAACAGCTGCAGATGGACTCAAAGTTCACAAAATTAAAATCTTTACTAAACTTAGAATGTTGTCGCAGTCCATTTATAACTTGGTGATATGCATAACACATGCACACGGACAGTTTACTCCCACTTAAAAGTGTTTCTGCTACCACATACTAAAGATCGTGTTTATTGGTCTCTTCATTACTGCTGTGGAAAGCAATCCTGACTATAAGTGCCAACAGTGCTGTACAATAAATAAATCTACTTCCAGGGATTCTGTGAACCATCTGCAGAAGCAGCGTAGCTGGCTGGAAACTGAATAATCAAACTGCTCTTTTTTCATAACATGTTCTTCAACTTTGGGAGTGATCTGGCAACTGCATAAAAAAAATAGCAAATCACAACATTTGGATAACAGTTGATGTAGAGGTTTCATTATGATGATCACTACTGGTCTGTACAAAGGGACGTTGTTTTGTTAAGGATCAATAGTTGTACAGACTCAGTAGTTATATTGGATATTCCCTGAACATGCAGAGATTGGGATGCACAGTTAACCAGCACTTATTCATTGCAAAGGAGGCAGTATACATGCTGTTTATTGTTTTAAATGCTTTCAGTGGCATTATCTCCTCTGCTGATTGGCTGATGCATCAGTGTGGTGTATGGCAGGTATCCAGCTGCTTAAAGCTAGCAGCTCTTAAAGGGGAGATGCATTATGGCCGGAAGCGAGTCCAATCTGTGAAGGGAGCTCCAAGATTTTGAGGTACCACTGGAGGCGTTAGTAAATGAGATAGGAAACAGGGGAAATGTGTTTCTATAGGGGCCAAGGGCAGGGGTTCTTTCAGATATGTGCCCCAAAAACAATGGGTGCCGATGCTCATTGCTCAGGTGTTGGGTATGGTTCAGTTAACCTCATGATGAAATCATCGTCAGAGAAAAGCATCTTTAAATGCCACAAATTACAAATAACCTCAGCCAACTCCTTAATGCCACTATCACTATCAGGTCAGGACTTTCAACTGACAATCACATAACTCATAATCTTCGCACTCACATGTCACAGCTTTGACGTGCTGTCAGCTATTCAACCACAAAAGCTTCATCACCCAATGGATTTCACAACACTCGGTGAACAAGTCTCTAACACAGGATAAGGTGGTTCACAAGTGGAAGAAGCAAGGGCTCCCCAGAAAGAGTCAGGTGCAACTACACATTCAGGCCTACGTTTTTTGGGGCATTAATTGCTAAGGCCGTGGACAATGATGGAGTTGCTATTGAAGGCCACAGTCGTTCTCATACCTAATCCTCACATTCTGCCTGCCCCACCTCCCACACTGGTTTGTTTCTCATGCTGTAAGCATATGTCTCATTTCAACACCCTTCCCACACCAAAACCAGGTCCTTAGGTCTTTCCCCTTTCAGATATCCAACCTGACCAGATAGTGGCAAAACTTCAATGAGGCAGTTATGGCCAATATGCATTTAGTCAGATATGGTCACCAGCAATGGCTCAGTTAATAGCAATCGTGTGACTCTGGGTTCAACTCCTACTCCAGGGGAGTACACAAGCGGACTTTCCAGCGCAGTGCTGGAAGACAGCTGCTCTGTTGGAGATGCCATCATTGGCATCAGGTGTTAAGCCAAAATCCCCGTTTGTCCTCTCGTATGAATGTAACAGATCTCTTGGCACCATTTCAAAGAACAGCGTATGAGTCATTTGTTCTTGATGCCCTTAACCTTAAGTCCAGACTCCAAGAACAGATTATCTGACCTTAATCACATTGCTGTTAGTAGGAGGCTGCACTGACCAAATTGGCTTCCCTGCTTCTTGCATTGCGATGGTTTTTGACTGGTGTTACATTCGAGTCATAGAGTCATACAGCGCGGAAACAGACCCTTCAGTCCAGCTCAATTGTGTTGACCACACATCCCAAACTGACCTAGTCCCATTTGCCAGCTTTTGGCCCAAGACCTTCTAAACCCTCCCCTATTTGTCTACCCATCCTTTTAAATGTTGTAATTGTACCAGCCTCCTCCACTTCCTCTGGCAGCTCATTCCATACACGCAACACCCTCTGGCTGAAAAAAGTTGCCCCTTCGGTGCTTTTTAAATCTTTCCCCTCTCACCTTAAACCTATACCCTCTAGTTTTGGACTCCCCTACCCTGGGAAAAAGACCTTGGCTATCCACCCTATCCATGCCCCTCATGATTTTATGAACCTCTATAAGGTCACCTCTCAGTCTCTGATGCTCCAGGGAGAAATAGCCCCAGCTTATTCAGCCTCTCCCTTTAACTCAAATTTTCCAGTCCCGGCAACATCCTTGTAAACCTTTTCTACACCCTGTCGAGTTTAACAACATCCTTCCTACAGAAGGGTGACTAGAATTACACACAGAAACATAGAAGATAGGAGCAGGAGGAGGGCATTTGGCCCTTCGAGCCTGCTCTGCCATTCTTCATGATCATGGCTGATTGTCCAACTCAATAGCCTTAGCCTGCTTTCTCCCCATAACCTTTGATCACATTCGCCCCAATGCTACATCTAGCTGCCTCTTGAACACGTTCAATATTTTGGCATCAACTACTTCCTGTGGTAATGAATTCCATAGGCTCACAACTCTTTTGGTAAAGAAATGTCTCCTCATCTCCGTCCTAAATTGTCTACCCCGAATCCTTATACTGTGACCCCTGGTTCTGGACACACCCACCATCAGGAACATTCTCCCTGCATCTACTCTGACCAGTCCTATTAGAATTTTATAAGTCTCTATGAGATACACTCCCTCATTCATCTGAACTCCAGCAAAAACAATCCCAACCTAGTCAATCTCTCCTCATACGTCAGACCCGCTATCCCTGGAATCAGCCTGGTAAACCTTCGCAGCACTCCCTTGAGAGCAAGAGCGTGCTTCCTCAGAAAAGGAGACCAAAACTGTACACAATATTTTAGGTGCGGTCTCACCAAGGCCCTGTATAACTGCAACAACATATCACTGCTCCTATACTCGAAACCTCTCGCAATGAAGGCCAACATACCATTTGCCTTCTTTACCGCCTGCTGCACCTACATGCTTACCTTCAGCGACTGGTGCACACTCCCCTCTCCCAATTTACAGCCATTCAGGTAGTAATCTGCCTTCTTGTTTTTGCTTCCAAAGTGAATAACCTCACATTTATCCAAACTATACTGCATCTGCCATTGATTTGCCCACTCACCCAACCTGTCGAGATCATGCTGAATACGCAGTATTCCAAAAGTTCCTTAAGGACATCCTGGGGAGTGAAGGTATGCTTAATTTCCCTCCTCACTTCCCCCTCCTCCTCATTCAAATGCTGTGTAGCTGGTGGCAAGTACTGTCACCTTATGATTGCAAGATGCAGCATTGAACGGACCATGCTGTTGAGTATTGCAGGGCTGTTACAGGGTGGTCCAGGTACTGGAAGCGTTGCTTCAGTACTCAAAGTAGTCTGCTCAATGATGTTCTGTGTGGCAGCATTACTTTCATTGTCTCCATGCTGTGCAAGCATGTCATTTGTCATGTTGTCAGAGGACAGCCTGGTCATTTGGTTTTTGTTTCCTGTTGTGACAGAACTACAACTGGCACAGTGCTACTGAATGAATGCATCACAACCTCTGCCAGGATACCAGGCTTCATCCTGCGGGATGTGCTGCTGGTGGTCACACGTCACAAATGTTTTGTGCTTCGGTACAAACCAAAGTTGACATACGGCGTCTGTAAATCGATGTGTGTACACTCTGTGCCATTGGCAACATTCTAAGCTGGGCAAAGCCACATTATTGCTCTGCCTCTTTTTCTGTGGTAAAAAAGGATGGAAGTGTTGTTAGTTTACTTTAAACAGAGGGCCACGGTGGCCTCTTTTACACAACAGTCAGTGGCAAACTGCAAGATGTTGCAAATATCTCCAGCTCCAGCCTGGAAGAATTCAGATCCATTAATGTTCATTGCCCTGGTCACGTTCACAACCACTATTGTTATGACCTCTGACCTGTACCGAGATTGCTGTTGTGGCTACAGTAAATGGCAGATTTCAGTGAAGACCTCCTTAGCAAAATGGAAACTTTGCTGACATTGCTCCTAACTAGGGTTCAGGAAGAGGAATTGCTCCAAGAGATCCACTCCTGTACCCATGTCGAAGTTATGCAGGAGCCTTGAAGTCAGCAAAAGTCCATGCAACTTCCACACCACTACTTGTAAACTTCTGCAATATGAAATAACTACAGAAAGCACCAAACGTTTGTTGAATCAAAGCAAAAGCCAGAAGAAATCAATCCGGAACTAACCTGGAAGAAGATGATGTTTCCTTTAAAAGACCTGGTGGGGAAACCTTCCTAATCCCGAATGTTTGGTTATGTGAGTTTAGGAAAGCTGAAGGTTTGAGCTCCAAAATGGCAATGCCAGCATCAGTACACTGATTTATATACCATCCCTGCATTGCATTTCTTCTGATGGTCAATCACTGCACTCACTAACAGCCTCACCAACATGGTATCCAGTGCTTTTTGCTGCAATGAGATAGTAGGAACTGCTGATGCTGGAGAATCTGAGCCAACAAGGTGTAGAGCTGGATGAACACTGCAGGCCAAGCATCATCAGAGGAGCAGAAAAGCTGACGTTTCGGGTCTGGACTCTTCTTCATTTTCTGAAGAAGGGTCTAGACCTGAAACGTCAGCCTTCCTGCTCCTCTGATGCTGCTTGGCCTGCTGTGTTCATCCAGCTCTACATCTTGTTGTCTCTTTTTGCTGCAATAATGCTTTTTCAGATACAAACAGCTAAGATCTGGGACATTCGGTTAATGTCAAACTAGGCAGTTTTGGAGTCTGGTTTGAAACTTTGAAAATTTAAATTTCTTGTTGAGAGTTAAAACTAGCCCCTTTGCCTTACCCTCGCTACCTCCCTTGACCCTGTCAATTACTGATGTCCAGAATGACCTTATCAAAGGACGCAAAAGGTCTGTCACTTCCATGTTCTTGTTCTACTTCAGATCTGTTTCTCTTCAATACGTTCCAACCTGTCTGGTAAACAGTGGATCAGAATTTGAAAGCCTAAAGGAT